GAATAAAGATGATCACGGAAGAATTGATGCACTTGAGTTATGGTGTTGGAGAAGAATATTAAAAGTACCATGAATTCCAGATGAACAAACAAATCTTTGTTGGAAGAACAGTCAGAACACCCCTTAGAAATTAGGGTAGTGAGACTTCGTCTTTCAATCTTCAGACATATTATCAAAAGTGACCATCTCCTAGAGAAGGGCACCATGCTTAGTTAAGTGCAGGGTCACCGACAAAGAAGATCCCCAATAAGATGGAGTGGCACACTGGCAGCAGGAATGGCCTCAAACATAATGATTGTGAGGACTGTGCAAGATGAGGCAGTGTTTCGTTCTGTTGTACAAATGTCGCTATGAGTCGGAACCCACTCAAAGGCACCTAACAACAACAAAAATTCATAGTTGTACATTTTAAATCAATAATAATCATTGAACTAAATTTCTAGGACTTCTTTGCCAAAGTACTGAAACCCTATGTCTAGGACTGACCGAGGATCTATTGAGAATAAAGCTCTGTGAGTCAGTTCTTCCACAGCTATCTCTGTCCAAGTTATTACTCTTCATCAGATGCTAAAGCCAGAAAACGTGCAGTTGAGTTACTGCCCTCCTCTGTCTGCCATACCAAATTACTCACCCAGTTCTGACAGTTCTCTCTCCTATAGTTCCCGCATGACTGTTTCTTCCTCTTCATCCTTCTTGCCCCTGCCTGATTTAGATCCTCAACATCTACCCCATGACATGTTGAGGGTCCCTACCTTGTCATGATTGCTTTGGTCTGTTTCCCATGTCTTTCTCTTGACCCTTTATATAGCTCAAGTCATTCACCCATTCTGTCCTTCTACTCCTCTACCTTTGATGGCAGCTACATAGGGAGAGTCAGAAGGGAAGGGAAAGAAAGGGGGCAAAAATCACTTGGTTCCCCACTTAGGTGTGCTCTAAACAAAAAGACCATTAATATTTGTCACTGACGATGAACATTCATATAAATGTTCCCTTTTCATGTATCAATCAAATAAGAAAACCATTCCTACTTTCCTAATCATCTCAAATGTTGTCACTTGTTTGTTGTTAAGTACCATCAAGTCAGTTCCAACTCATAGTGACCCTGTTTAAGGTTCTTAGGAACAATGGTGGGTTTGAACTGCCAACCTGGCGGTTAGCAGTCTAGTGCTGATCCTACAGTGCCACATCAGGACTTCACTAGGGTCACAAAAACAAAACAAAAAAGTACTATTCATGAAACCAAGATAAATGACTCCTCAGAGGTTTTCCCAGATCCTCTATCCAGTCTCTATTAGTTTTCTCTGTGAAGAGCTGGCCTGATGAGCAGACACTGTAAGATTGTTCGCTTACAGGGCATTGACTTCTGGGATGAAGAAAATGATCAGTTGCCCTGCCTTCCAATATTGCATTGTTTATAGATGAATGGTATTTCTACAGAGATGCATTACTTTTTCTTTCTACAAATAAAGATAAGGTTTGAAATTCCCATTTTGCTAAAGTGGTAAACATACTGATTTGAATTCACACGATGGAGACGTTCGTGCACCTTAACTTCAACTGAACAGCATTGAACAAGCACCTTCCTTGTTCAATGCTGCTTCAGCGAAGGATCAGAAAAATGCCCTGGATGTGGTCCCTTGTCCTCAGAGTGTACACACTTAGTGAAGGGGACATATGCAACTACCCACACTGTTGGTGCAAAGCACCCTGAATAGAGGAACACAATGTGATGTGAGTAGAGAAACAAGACACATTAATCTTGATTTGGGGGATTGGGAAGGATTTCCTTGAGCTTCTCCATGAAACAGCTGGCAGGATGGTTGCTCTATTAAAAATATAAGGTACATAAGACATAGAATCAGACTAGGAGGAAGACAATACACTCCATTTGGTGCATGCTGAGTTGGAAGGGGCAGCATGACATCCGGACTTAAAGAGTTCAGCAGAGAGGCCTGGCTTGTAGCTTTGGGGGTGACTGAGCTTACTTAGGAAGCAGGTAAAAACTCAAAGGGAGGAGATGCTTTAGATAGAGCCTACTGAGGCAGAACATCTATATTCTCCTTTCTGTTTTTTTAAAAAAATGATTTTTTAAAAAGTCCTTTGAATAGTTTTCTGCAGACATAAACATTCAGGCTGCACAAGTTTACACACAGTGTTGGTCCACAGAGTGCACGCGATCTACATCCCATGGCTGCCTGGTACCCTAAGATTCAGATCCTAAAGTGCCCCTTTATAGGCTGTTCCTGTGCCCAGATGTTTCTCCCAAATCTGTCTGCCAGGTAACTATTATGCATATGTCAAGACTCCCTGGAGCGTCATTTCCTCTCTGAAGCCTGTCCTGACCTGTTCCTGGCCTAGAAGTGACCTTGCCTTCTCTTTCTTGAAGGAGTCTTAGTGGTGCTGTGGGTTATGCGCTGGGCTTCTAACCACAGGGTTGGTGGTTCAAACATACCAGTCACTCTACATGAGGAAGATGAGGCCATCTGCTCTTGTAAAGAGGTGCAGTCTGGGAAGCCCTAAGGAGCAGTTTCTGTGCTGTCTTTTAAGGTTGTTATGAGTCAGAATCGAATTAGTGGCATGGGTGTTTGGATGGGTTCCCTTCTTGTCTAGGATACTGGGAGACAAGACAAGGATTATTCTGTTTATGTATCTGACTCTGCTTAGATCACTGTACTTTTCAGAAGGCAGAGACCAGGTCTAATGACAGTGTGTGTTCCTAGCACCTTCCCACAAAATATCTAATAGTGTTTGAAATGAATAACTAAGGGAATGGGGAATGAGTGAATTAATTATGGAATTGTCACAGGCCAGACAGTTTACAGATGTTTAGAGCAAGGCAGGTGAGACATAGAGGTAGGAATATAAGGCATCCATGAAGGGTTTTAAATGTCATATGAAAGACAATTTACCTTCACTCAATACTCCTAAAGACACAATCTCCCCAGGTGGTGAGCCATGATACCAGTATTTCAATGTAGTGGCTATACTGTGTGCAGCTAAAATGCCTCTAAATTGTCTTCCTGAGGCCGACAAGCTTTTAAGAATTTTCACAAAATCTTTGTTGATCCACTCACTGTAGGAGAGAAAGAACAAATTTAATCATGCGAAAAGGAATGAAAATGGAAAAGCTGTCTCTCAGACTGATGGAGTTGAATGACAGGAGCCACAGTCACGGTCAGAATAGAAACGGGGCTCTGCACCTCTTCTTCCAGCAACTTCAATCCCAGAAGAACGTTCATTGATAAATAGTGAATTATAGCAGAAACAGTCCCAAAAGCTCACCCTAAAAACATGGTAACATAAATATGTTGTTGTTGTTAAGCGCCATGGAGTCGGATTTGACTCACAGTGACCCTGCACAGGCTTCCAAGAGGAACTGGTGGGTTTGACTTACTAACATTGTGGTTATTAGTCCAGTGCTTATCCTATAGTGCCACAAAGAAAAGTAGTCAAAGTCTGCTTTGAAATGAAAGGAAGAAACGGCTTTCAGTACTAAAGAATTTAGTCCATGTATGTTATATTAGGGGGTGGGAGGAGGTTAAGTCTTGAGATCACACAAATCGAAAAGCGCCCAACAACTCTCCAGGTGGGTTAGAGTTTGAACCTCAGAAAGCAGGTCTGGTGATCTGCTTCCCAAAAGTCACAGCTTTGAAAACCCTATGGAGCAGGTCTACTCTGCACACATGAGGTCACCGTGAGGCAGTATCAACAGGATGGCAACCAACACCAACAAATGTTATCTTAGAACCAGAGAGGATCCTTCGTTTTTAGCAAGTTAATTTTATAAATCATTGAATTGTTCACACTGAGAATTAGGGGATCATCTGAGGTCTAAACTAAGGGAGGAATGTGGCTTAATTAGAGTCCTTAGTGTGCTCACATCAACTCTCCTTTACCCAGGCAGCAGATGCAGGCAAACACGCTCCAGGAGTGGGAACTTGGATGCAGTGCTCCGAAGCATGGATGTAATGCCTATGGTCTGAGGATGGGTAATGGAAAGAAAACGCTCCAGTTGGGAAAGGGTTGCAAAGTTTAGAAACGAGTATACTCCAAAGCTCCCCTCTTCTTCTCCCCTCCTCCTCGGCACCATAATGCTAGTGTCTGTAGTGGTTACGAATCAGGCTGTTAATCTCAAGGTCAGCAGTTCCATGGGAGAAAAATGAGGCTTTCTGCTCCCATAAAGTTTTACAGCTATGAGTGAGAACCGACTCCACAGCACATAACCACCACCACCACCAAAGATTTACAGCCTCGGAAACCCTGTACAGGGTTGCCATGAGTTGGAACTGACTCCACGGCACACAACAACAACAACAAGTGCAGCAGGCACAGCTCCAGGTGCTAACGTGTATGCTGGATCACCCCATTTAACCTTCCCCTCGGATCTTATAAAGGCTCATACTATGCTGCCACTTTCACTCTGTAAGTGAAAAAGCTAAGGCATGGAGAGGTTAAGTAACTTCTCTAAAATCACATAGCTAAAAAGAAGTGGCTACGTGAGAATTCCAACTTAGGTGGTTTGGCCCTAGAGATGGTGCTCTCATTACCTCTTGATTCTCCCTTTCCCGGGACATACACTCAGTATGTTCTGGGCCAGCTCACCAGTTTAGCTCCTAAGACTCCCTTTGCACATGGATTGTAGTGGATAGGCACAGTGGCGGCAGCAATGGACTCAAGTTTCACATCAATTGTGAGGATGAAGCAGGACCGGGCAGTGTTGCATTCTGATGCGCATAGCATCACTAGGAGTCGGAACCCACTCGACAGCACCTAACAACAACTAACAACTTTTAAAGATAATTTTAATGCCATCTGTGAGCTACTTTACAGAAAATCTTGAAATATAAACATCCACAGTTCCAAACTCAAATAAATTAGAGGTGGAGATGGACTAGTTGAAATTCTATAGAGTTCTCTGGGTTTTTTTTTTTTTCAGTAAATAATACAAGGGAATATGAGTATGAATAAAGCAAGCTATTTTTGTACAAAACTTTATAAAAATATTTTAACGGCGATGACAAGTATGACACATGTATTTAGCATTGCTAGTGTACTTCACTTAAAAAGATACTGTACCGATCAAAAATCAAGCTCAAAACAGGGCGGGAGTAGTAAGGGGGTCCCCAGATAGCACTCTCATATCTGTAGATTTTGGCTTTCCTCAGGTCAACATAGTTATTTCCACTAATATTACCCCAAATTATCACATCTTTGATGCCTGTAGAGGAAAAAAAAAATAAACATAATGTGTATATTAATATAAAGAAAATGCCTGGAAGCTTTTTTGTTGAAGATTGATTCTTTTGCTATAAAGTCAATTTTAGTTTATATTCCCTACCAAGTGCCAGATATATGGCTCAGCGCCCTAACAATCAGGGTTTGGCAATCTCCGTAGTGTTTATTAATCGGGCTGCAAACCTCAGGGTCAGCAGTTCGAAACTACCAGCTGTTCCACAAGAGAAAGATGAGGCTTTCTGCTCCCGTAAAGACTCACAGTCTCAGAAACCCTGTACAGGGTCGCTATGAGTCGGAACCACGGCACATAACAACAGCAGTGATGTTCTAAGGGACGGTGGTGGCGCTGTAGAGTAAGAACTGACCTGCTAACCACAAAGTCAGCAGTTCAAAACTATCAGGAGAAAGAGGAGAGTTCCTTCTTCCAGAAAGATTTGCAGCCTCCGAAACCCAATATAGGGTTGCTATGAGTCAGAATTGACTTGATAGTATTTTTGTTTGTTTTAGGTTAGTAAGTGTCTATAGAGGAGCTCTGGTAGCATAGTGGTTACGAATTGGGCTGCTAATCTCACAGTCAGCAGTTCGAAACTACCAGCTGTTCCATGGGAGAAAGATGAGGCTTTCTGCTCCCGTAAAGATTTACAGCCTCGGAGACCCTGTACAGGGTCACTGTGAGTCAGAACTGACTCCACGGCACATAACAACAACAAGTTTCTATAAATGTTTAATCTAAAGTGTAAACAAGTAATTTTATCTAGAGAAGTCTTTTAATTGTACTGGGTCTTACTTTTCTTACCCGATTAGGTCCTTTAAAGAGCTCTGGTAGCCTAGTGGTTACCAATTGGGCTGTGAACCGCAAGGTCAGCAGTTCGAAACTACCAGCTGTTCCGCTGGAGAAAGCTAAGGCTTTCTGCTCCCGTAAAGATTTATTTACAGCCTCGGAAACCCTGTACAGGGTCACTATGGGTTGGAACCAACTCGACGGCACATAACAACAGGTCTGTTGTTGCTATAGTTGTTAAATGCCGTGGAGACGGTTCCAACCCATAGTGACCCTCTATAGGGTTTGAACTGCCGGCCTTGCGGTTTAAACTGACCTTGTAGTACAGCGCATGATCCTGCAGCGCCGTACCAGGACTCCTTTCCAGCTCTAACCGCCATAATTGTGCTAGAAAAATACAGTGTCTAGCAAGAGGATTTTTTTGTGTGTTTTTTTTCCCCCTTCCAACATTTCTTCTCCTTTTCCCTTTAGTTTACTTGTTTGTAAATAACTACTCTTCACCCAGTTTTACTCCATATGTTTTTTGTGGTGCTATCTTCACCACTCCGGTCCGTTAGTAGGGCTGTGGCTTGGGTCTTGTCAATCAATAAAGTCCAGCCTCTGGGCCACAATGACTGATTTGTAGATGGGTGTGTAGTCCAAACCAGGACAATGAGATATTACCCTTTGTGCTTGTACAGAAACCACTGGGAAAGAAAACTCGGTTTCTTCTGGGGTAGCTAAACTATGAGCATACATATGGTCTGGGGGGGGCCAGTGGGCATTGTACCACCGGCTGGAGAGAGACTACCTGGGAATAAAAGTGACACAAAGGAGGGCCGAGCTCTATGATGGGCCAAGAGGGAGTACAAGGAGTAGTGCCAGCATCATTGGAGGCCCAGCTTTCAGCCAGGACGGAAATAAGGACCATTCCCCATAGTTCTCAGTTCTTACACAAAAAAATCTCTCTGTTCCTATAACTTCAGTCCATTTAAGCTGACTTTGTGTCACTTGCAACAAAAAAGAGTCCCAACGAATGCCAACATGTGAGCACCTGCTCTGAGACACAGGGTTATGTGTGAATTAAACTCAGTGGATGTCTGGGACCCTGCTCTTTGTAAAAGGTGGAGACAGTAATGGATTGAATTGTGTCCCCCCCAAAAGGTCTATTGGCATCTTAAGCCCTGAGTCTGTGAATGATCGTGACCTCGCTTGAGGAAATAGGGTTTTTCTTTGCAGATGTTATCAGTGAAGTTATGAGGTCAGACCACAATGGCATGGGTTGTTGTTGTTAAGTGCGGTCAAGTCAGTTCCGACTCACAGCGACCCTAGATAGGGTTTCTGAGAATCAGCTGGTGAGTTTGAACCAAGTGCTTATCCTACAGTGCCACACCAGGACTCCAGTGGGATGGGTAATACTCATCGTCTCCTCTGAGCGGCATCTTATACAGGCTCACAGGGTGAAGAAAGCAGGTGACTACCTGTCCACATACCAAGGAATGCCAGGGAATCCTGAGGCTTCCAGAGACTGAGACAAGCAAGGAAAGGGCTTCCTCTGGAGTCCACAGAGAGAGACACAGCCCCACCAACACCTTGAATTTGGACTTCTAGCCTCCAGAATTATAAGAAAATAAATTTGCTTTTAAAGCTACCCGCTGTGAGGTATCTGCAGCACAGCATCACTAAGAGACCAAGATGCACTGCACACCATCATGTTCACCTCTGCCTATGTTGTGCCCGGCTTTCTCCTTCCTGCTCCACTGACAGGTCTGTCCCTAGAATGCCTCATTGTCCTTTACCTGACTTTCCTCCATTTTCCCTCCTCATCCTGCTTCTCACATGCTTATTGACTCTGAGTTGAGCAGGACATCAGATTTTATGCTACCAGCAGACGCTTAAGGAGGCAGCTTTCCAGATGAAAGTCCCTTGTCCCTCACTTTGTTTTCAATTTTGTATCACACTCTCTTCTTGACACTTTTCATTGGTGTGACCTGGACCTTTTGTGGTAAATCAATGTCTACACATGCACATACAAGGTTGACAACAGAAACACAATGAGTAGAAAATGTTTTCGTTTCCTATGGAATAAATTCAGCATCGATTTGGCTGAGTTTTGAGCTGACCCTGGCAGTAAGATACTGGGAATGTAGACTCAAGAATTCAAGAATGATGATTTCTAGGATTTCACACAAAGAAATGCAGCACCTAGCTCGGGTATCTTAGTGGGTGTCTTAGCGATTTAATGCTGCTATAACAGAGATACCAAAAGTAGATGACTTTAACAACCCCAAATTTAGTCTCATGCAGATGAGGAGGCTAGAAGTCCAAATTGAGAGCATCGGATATTTTGAAGGCTTTCTCTTTGTTGGTTCTGGGGAAAGGTCCTTGTTTCCTTTCAGCATTGGCAGCCCCAGAAATCCTTGAAGATCTCCGTACACCTTGGCATCAGTTTTCCCTCCACAGTGCAGGGACCCCAGGTGCAAAGACACATTCCGCTCCTGGCTCTTCTGTCTTGGTGGTAGTAAGTCTCCCTTTCTCTACTTAAGTCTCTCTCCTTTTATCTCTTGCAAAATAAAAGGTGCTGCATGTCACACCCTTGCGAATTACCTATCAATTGGATTAAGGTGGTAGTGGAATTTAGGGTGGTGCCTGCTCCCATAAAGATTTCCAGTCTCGAAAACCCTAAGTGACTGTTCAACTCTGTCCTATAGGGTGGCTATGAGGAGTTATCAACTCCATGCAGTCCTGGTGTGGCACTGTAGGATAAGCACTAGACCACAAGTTCATTTGAGTCACACAGTTGGCAGTTCAAACTCACCAGCGGCTCCTCAGAAACCCTATACGTGGTTGCTGTGAGTCAGAACTGACTTGATAGCACTTCACAACAACATGGCATCCTTAGTCCTCTGACTGTAAGGATCACAGAGGGTTTTGGGTTCTTCTTAGCTGCTTTGAGACCATGTTGTTTAAAAGACCACCACCAGGAGTCCACTCACCTGCAGGAACTGTTTTCAGTTTTCTGGCCAGCACAGCTTTAGCTTGCCCTTCCACCCCCAGTGCTACCGCAATGATGTTGTGTGCAATGCTTGGGGCATATCTTATAAGCAAGGCCGTTTTAAGATTCACAAAGGTTTTTCCTCCCACAATAACTCTGACGGATTCGTGGGCATTTTTCTCAATCAAGTATCCGTAGAGCCTGCAGAGAGGAACCTTGCTTCGCATGCAGTCTTCCAGGCTGAACACCTCCTGGTCAGTGACGTCGTCCAGGATGATGACCACGTGGGCCCGGTCGAAGGCCTTCTCCACTTCAGTGCAGATGGTGATGCTCTGGAGGAGGGGTGACACCAGGTCCTGGGTCTCCAGTAGAATGGTGGAGAGGTGGTTTTCATGCTTGCTGTCTAATAGAATTATGCTAATTTCCGTGTGTATCCCAAACACCTCACCACTTGTCAAGACGGGAATCAGGTTGTAGCAGGCAGGAGCCGAGGCACTGGTGGAAAAGTGAACCTGAATTATGGATATGAGGAACGCTTCATCTCCCTTAGATCTTTATTCTTAATTATAGTTTGCACATTAATTAGGGGAAGGGTTTAAATGGGCATTCCCAGCTACAGAGACACTGTTAAGGCTAGAAAGAAAACAAGAGAACAGAAAAATCCTCATTGCTAACTCCTTGCTTTGATCATTTGAAAGCCATCCCTGAATAAGAAGTGCATCTGCTTACTATGAGTTTTAAATAAAATAGAATTTCCCATTGCTGAAAGTAAAATTCCAGAGCAGTGTCATTTTGTGCTAATTACACATTTACATGTCTTCTTAAAAAGATAAAGAAATAACGAGTTTCAATAAACCATAGCTCCTTTCTAAAAAAAAACAAAAACTTATACCCTTATCAGAAGAGTAAAGGCATTTTTTAGAAATAGTTATCTACTCCAAATCATTAGCCCTGCCTTCAGATAATAATCCTTACAATGATGCATATTGATCAAGATGTCTATGGATCGATGCAAGCTGTGTGTGTTTTTTCCTTAGCCACAATTTAGTATGTCTCAGGTGTGGCACTGTAGGATAAAGTACTGGTCCACAAGGTTGGTTTGAACTGCAACAGCTTAACAACAACAACTGGGTATTGTAGCTGCGATTGACACCTGAGAGCTGTATGACCTCCTGTGGGCATTTATGGTTTTCATAGTGGGGTTAGGAAAGGGTTCAATTTGTACTATTTTAATTATTTTTAAAAACACCAAAAGCTGATGTTGTGCTTGTTTTAAGTGCCATCCAGTCAGTGCCGACTCATAGGGACCCTGTATAGGGTTTCCAAGGAGTGCCTGCTATGCTAGAACCGCTGACCTTGTGGTTAGCAGTCCAGTGCTGACCCTACCACGCCACATCAGGACTTTATTGATTAAATCTGAGTGATAGCTTCATGGATGCTTATTACATCATTCTCCATTCTTTTCTGTATTTGGAATGCTGCATAAGTCATTTTTAAATGAGTACATATGATGACATACCTACATATAATGAGAAAGGCCACTACTAGTCTGTCAGTTTGTCATACTGTGGTGGCTTGCGTGTTGCTGTGGTTCTGGAAGTTATGCCACCAATATTTTGATTAAAAGCAGGATCATCCATGGTGGACACATTTAGGCTGAACTTCCCGACTAAGACAGATACAGAAGAAGGAGAGGAAGACTACTTCTGAATGTTTTGTTGTTGTTGTTGTTGTTATGTGCCATCGAGTCGGTTCCGACCCATAGCGACCGCCACTGAAAATCTTATGAGTAGAAGTGTAACACTGTTGGGCAGCATGAGAATATTGAATATTGAAACACGATAAAGAGCTCCAGAATATTGTCAGATAAAGTGCTGGAAGATGAGCCCCTCAACTTGGAAGGCATTGAAAATACGACTGGGGAAGAGCTGCCTCCTCAAAGTAGAGTTGACGGTGATGACACGAATGGAGTCAAGCCTTCTGGACCTTCATTTGCTGCTGGATCACAACTCAAATTGAAGAGAAACAGCTGTAAACATCTATTAATAATTGGAACAGGAAACGTATAATGTATGAATTTAGGAAAATTGGAAGCAGTCAACAATGAGATGGAACACATAAATATTGATATCCTAAGCATTAGTGAGTTGAAATGGACTGGCATTGGCCATTCTGAATCTGACAATTACATGGTTTACTTACTATCCCAGGATGACAAATTAAGGAGGAATGATATTGCATTCTTCATCAAAAAGAACATTTTAAGATCTCTCTTGAAGTATACTGTTGTCTGTGATAGGATAATATGCAGACGCTTACAATGAAGACCAGTGAATACCACTATTATTCAAAATTATGCACCAACCACTGGAGCCAGTCAGCATGAAACTGAAAAATTCTACCAATTTCTCCGGTCAAGCATGCAATCAAATGTATTGATAAAACCGTTGATTGGAATGCAAAAGTGGGAAACAAAGACGAAGGATCAATAGCTGGAAAATATGGCCTTGGTGATAGAAATGATGCTGGATAGATACAACTTTACAAGACCAATGACTTCTTTATTCCAAATAACTTTTTAAAACAACATAAAAGATGATTACACACATGGACTACACCAGATGGCATACAGAGAAATCAAATTAACTGCATTTATGGAAAGAGATGGTAGAAAAGCTCCATATCATCAGCCAAAACATGACCAGGGCAGAATGAGGAGCAAACCATCAATCGCTTATATGCAAGTTCAGGCTGAAGCTGAAGAAAATTAAAACAAGTCCATGAGAGCCAAAATATGACCTTGAACATATCCCACCAGAGATTATCTCAATAACAGATCTGATGCATTAGACACTAATGACTGAAAACCAGAGGAGTCATTGATGACATCAAGAACATCACACAGAAAGAAAGCAAAAGGCCATTAAGAAGACAAGGAAGAAAGAAGAGGCCAAAATGGATGTCAGAAGAGATTCTGAATCTTGCTCTCCAGTATGGCGGTGGGGTGGTGGTGGTGGTGGTGGAGTGCCATTGAGTCAGTTCTGACTCACAGCATTCCTGCATAGGGTTTCCAAGGTTGTACATTTTTAAGGGAGCAGAAGGTCTTATCTTTCTACTTTGGAACAGCTGGTAGTTTCAAACTGCTGACCTTGAGGTTAGCAGCCCCACTTGTAACTACTACGCTATCAGATGGAAGGAATTAGGAGGTAAAAGAGCTGAACAGAAAATTTGAAAGGGTAGCTTGAAAAGACAAAGGTAAATATTATAATGAAATGTGTAAAGATCTGGAGTTAGAAAACTAAAAGGGAAGAACACGCTCAGCATTCCTCAAGCTGACAAAACTGAGCGAAAAAAAAATGCAAGCCTTGAGTTGAAATATTGAAGGATTCTTTGGGCAAAATATTGAATGATTCAGAAAACATCAAAAGAAGATGAAAAGTATACACAGAGTCATTGTGCCAAAAAGAAATGGTCGATGTTCAACCATTTCAAGAGGCAGCATATGATCAAGAGCCAACGATGCTGAAGGAAGAAGTCCAAGGTGCACTGAAGGCCTTGGCAAATGGGAATTGATATAATACAATCTGAAATCTTTCAACAAACTGATACAGTACTGAAGGCACTCACTCATCTATGCCAGGTAATTTGGAAGGCAGCTATTTGGCCAACTGATTGAAAGAGATCCATATTTGTGCCCATTCCACCGAGAGGTAGCCCAGTGGAATGCAGAAATCATTGGACAATATCATTAATATCACATGCATATAAAATTTTGCTAAAGATAATTTAAAAATGGCTGCAACAATACACTGACAGAGCTACCAGATGTTCAAGCCGGATTTAGGTGAGGACTTGGAACGATGATATCACTGCTGACATCAGACGGATCTTGGCTAAAAGCCGAGAATACTAGAAAGATCTTTACCTGTGCTCTATTGACTATGCAAAGGTTTTCAACTGCATGGGCCATGACAAGCTATGGACAACACTGTGGAGAATGAGTACTCTGGAACACTTTATTATTCTCATGCAGAACCTGCACATAGATCAAGAGGCAGTTGTTTGAACGGAACAAATGGACACACTGAATGATCTAAAATTAGGAAAGATGTATGCTAGGGTTGTATTCTTTCACCATACTTATTCAGTCTGTATGCTGAACATATATGGATTATATGAAGAAGAATTTGGCATCTCAATATAAAGAAAACAAACTTCTCACAATTGTACCACTAAATAACATCGTGATAAATGGAGAAAAGATTGAAGTTGTCAAAGATTTCATGTTGTTGGATCCACCACCAACACTCATGGAAGCAGCAGTTAAGAAATCAACTGTTGTATTTCATTAGGTAAATCTGCTACAGTAGACCTCTCTAAAGTGTACAAGAGCAAAGATATCAGTTTGAGGACTAAAGTACACCTGATCCAAGCCATGGTATTTTCAATAACCTCATATGCCTGTGAAAGTTGGACAATGAATAAGGAAGACCACAGAAAAATGGATGCATTTGAGTTATGGTGTTGGACAAAAATAATAATGATACCATGCACTGCAAAGAACAAATAAATCTGTGTTGGAAGAAGTACAACCAGAAGGCTCCTTAGAAGCCAAGATAGACAGAGTTGTTTTCTTATACTTTGGACATATTATCAGGAGGCACCAGTCCCTGGAGGAGGATATGATGCTTGGTAAAGTAACCTGACGGGACAGTGAAAAAGAGGGACACCCCTAGTGAAATGGTTGGCATGGTGGCAGCAACAATGAGCTCAAACATAAGAAGCAATCATGAGGATGGCATAGGACTGGGCGGTATTTCATTCTGTTGCTTCCAGGGTAGCTAGGAGTCAGAACGGACTTGCTGGCACTTAACAACAACAACAAATGAGAAGGGCAATGTGAGAGTCTCACTGATGTTAGGGGAAAAGTAAGGGGTGGGGACAAGAGCAAGACTGACAGTGAGATGGTATAGAGGAAGGAGAGAAAATGAGACAACAGCAGAACATTTCTAAGACTGAAAATGGGGGGGGGGGCAAAATGCAAAATGGAGAGAAAAAGTAAGGAGGAGTCAAAGCAAAAGGGAGTGACAGAGAGCAAGTGCACAAGAACCAGTGAAATTTCTAGCAAGCAGGAAAGAGGGAGAGGGCAATAGTCAGTGAGGGCCAGAGAAAGCGAAGGGAAGGAAGGGCAAGGCACTGAGCTCAGGTGACAGAACAGAAGGCATGAGAGGGTGAGCAGAAGAGACAATGATGGAGCCATCATCTGTAGGAAACACAGGCTCAAACAAACACACATCCATGCTATCAAGGTGCTCTTGGCATATATCGAATACATACACACACACACACACACACACACACATCAAATGTGGCATTCAGGTGTTCTGCCATGGAATTACCATAACCCCACTTCACAGTGTTTTCTAAATATCAAAAGCCAACCTTATGAATCCAGGGACTTGACTATCCCACCTGGTGATCCAGACCTGTAAGGGGCTGGTGAGTTCCTTGAGGGATTCTTCCTTGAGCGATTTTTCCATATGTGACTCCAGGTTTTCTTTAGCAACTGTTAGCATCAGCTCAGTTGTCATGCTAGACGTAATGCCATAGTAAAGCTACAGATTGGGGAAGAGAACGCCAATATGAGAAATGAGATGAAAATGAGTTCCTCGCAATGGCTGTATGAGAAAGTTCTTACTGAAGAGTCAAAAAAGAAGAAAAAAGGAACTGAGCGAATACTTGGGCAAGCAAGACATTTGAAAACGAAATCATGTGGGAGGGCAATAGGATTTGGAACAGATGAAACAATCCACCTTACCTGGGCATGCTCCAAGAATTCATTATAGCCTCCCAAGAGTGTGCCCTTGCCTCCGCGGTCCAGCAGCTCTCTCCAGATGATGGGAGATTTTTTGTGACTCCATTTATTTTTTTCACACACATCTTTCAGCCACTCCTATTGAATGATAGTCCAAGGATGTCATATATTAAACCTGCCTCCATTTTAGAATTCAAACATTAAAATACAAGTTTTCTTTTTTTTTTCACTTCGGCAACTACAGTGAAATTTAGTTCTTTTAAGAAAGTGAAAGCTAGAAATAAACACAGTGATAAATGAATCAAATAAAAAACAGTATTCCTTATATTCATTGGCCATATCAAGGTACTGAAAATTGTTCTCTTTGCTGAGCAGAGACAGAATGCTAGTGTTAAAGAGAGAGATCAACTGTTTCAGTTTGACTGATTTCAAAAGTGAATCTTTCCTTTGCTCTTGTATGTGAGTTATTTCCAGTCTTAGAACCATAAACATTTCAATATTGCTTTTCACATCATTGGCTTATGTTTATATAGTTCAGACAGAGCTGGGGAGGGGTCCACCCTGTACTACTTTCGTTATTAAAAAATATATCTAAAGCTGATGCAGTATTTATTAAACCTGAGTGATACCTTCATGCACGCTTATTACATCATTTTCAATTCTTTTCTGTATTTGGAATGCTGAGATGAAAGTTATCTGAGGCTTTCTGAGAATTGTTGTTGTTGTTGTTGTGATGTGCCGTGGAGTCAGTTCCGACTCATAGCGACCCTGTACAGGGTTTCCGAGGCTGTAAATCTTTATGGGAGTAGAAAGCCTCATCTTTCTCCTGCAGAACAGCTGGTAGTTTCGAACTGCTGACCATGAGATTAGCAGCCCCATTCATAACCACTATGCTACCAGAGCTCCTTTTTCTGAAAATAGTTACTATTAGAAGTTTAGATTTTCATTATCTAGTTACTCCCAGCATTATGCATAATCTTGCACAATGTCATTTTGTACCAAGAGACCCACTGTATGGAAATCAAGGTGCCACGTGGGCACATAACTGTGGGCTATCCATTGACCCTACCATATATCGCACCACCCAAGACCTGTCAGCCTCATGGAGGAATGTAACAACTGATTCCAGGAGCACCTGAGGCACCATTTCAGAGACTGACACAATTTTTCAGGCTGCAATAAACACGACGAGTCAATATGGTGCTTTGTGATGATAGGTAGAATACTTAGATCCAGAAACCAAGGGATAGAATTAGAGTGATCCTACTTACAATCACTTTCAGCAATCAACATGGAGGAATTTGAACTTCTAAACCCAGCGCTTTAGACATTGCAGCTCGGTAGATCCTAATTTCCAGAGAAGGAATATGTCTACCAGGGAACACTGAGGCCCACTAAGCTTTATGCCATAGCTGTCAGTCAGTCACTTTGAGCCGTTGTGCAAGGAAAGGAGTCAACAGCCTGGAGGGGATCAGGAGCATGTAGGGCGGTTACCCAATGTAGGCTGGGAAGAATATTTGGCATCTAAGTGAACCATCAAGGTCAGCAGTTTGAAACTACTTTCTCCAGCTGTTCCGCAGGAGAAAGATGAGGCTTTCTGCTCCCGTAAAGATTTATAGCCTCGGAAACCCTGTACAGGGTCGCTATCAGTCAGAACTGACTCCATGGCACACCCACCACCAGGTGAACCATTGGGTGTCTCTTTCCCAAGTTTGACAGTAAATGGACAAGTGCAGCAGTTACATCCTGCAAAGGGAATGGATAGTAAGTGCAGGGCTCAATCCCCTCAAAGAGGCAGGTCCAGTGAGCCACCAAGAGCACAGAGGGTGAGGGGAATCTAAAAGTTACAGAAGAGAAGAAAGGTGATGAGGATCCGTGTAGTCATGAACCTCTGCAGCTCATTTGACTAAGCTTCCTCCTTTAAAATTTCCCCAAGAAAAAAAATGCCAATCGAAGGCATGGAGAAGCAGTTTTCAGAAGATGTGAACTTACTCTATGGGGCATGTAAATCCAGAAGTTCCAATGGGTGAACTATAGTGGGTGCTGTCAGGCACGCAGAGCACTGACCTCCCCTGCAGAAGGGTGCACTCATCTCCTCAGTCACATGACTGCTCATGGCTCTGTGCTGAGTACCTTCCCTGGAGCTGATTTCAGTCAGGGGTACTTCTCTCACCTGAGGTTAAGTCCCTTTCCCAGAAGCAGCCTGCATCCATGATGGGGACATCTCTGCAGGGCCATGCCAACCCCAGAACTTCCTATGGGGTCCACTGAGGCCTCTGGTCAACTTTCCCTCTGTCCAATTCTGCTTTCCTCATTCCTTTCCAAGATGTGTCCCCAAGAGCACTCCCCAGTAAATGTCCTTCACCCAACTCTCCACCTCAGTTCCAAATAAACAAGCCCCTCATGTCAAGATGAAGAATGGAAAATTAGTAAGTGCAATGTACGTTATTTGGAATTTTGGAAGAGATAAAAAAAAAAACACAACAAATTAGTCAAATTAATTCTCTTATTCTTACTGGTTAGTAAAGGAGCTCTGGTAGCGTAGTGGTTACGAACCCGGCTGTGAACCTCAGGGTCAGCAGTTCGAAACTACCAGCTGCTCCATGGGAGAAAGATGAGGTTTTCTGCTCCTGTAAAGATTTACAGCCTCAGAAACCCTGTACAGGGTCGCTATGAGTCAGAACCGACTCCATGGCACATAACAACAACTGGTTAGTACCTCCTTTGATGTTAGGGGGGAATAAATCAATGAAAAGCAACAACTACATAAATACTGTTTTAAAATATAAGAAGTAGGGACTTAATTTTTTAGTATTCAAAGGTCAATACTACAGGAACCTTTACTACTGAAAGCCATCTAAAAGATATTGTTATTGTTGTTGTTGTTGTTGTTAAGTACTGCTGAGTGGGTTCCTACTCATTGTGCCTCTGTATAGGGTTCCTGTGGCTTTAAATCTTGGGGAGAGCAGAAAGCCTCATCTTTTTCCCATGGTGCAGCTAGTGGGCTTGAACTGCTGACCTTATGGTTTGCAGTCCAGTACTTGTCATATGGAGCCAAACTATGAAAGTTTCTTACCTCCCAAACCTCAGGATGTTGGGTAATTTTATGTATCCTAAAATCAGGAAGATTCTGCTGTAAATAGTCTGCCAGAAGTTCCACTTTAGCATAATATGGACAATCGGCTTTACCTAAAAGAGTTCATTCAGATTAGCAATGTTTCCTTTCATCACACAGTAATGACCATGAAGTTGTAAGTTGCCATAGAGTTAGAGAAATAACTTTTAGTTACAATTTTCACACCTATACTTAGAACCTATAGTGTAATCATGCAGCCACATAAACTCTTCATGTGTATGACATTGATAAGGAGTGCTGGTGTGGCTCTGTTGGGTTCATGCACTGGACTGCAAAGTCGGTTTGAACTGCAAGGCTGGCAGGTCAAGCTCACCAGCTGCTCCTCAGGAAACCCTATACCAGGTTGCTATGCGTCAGAACTGACTCGACGGCACTTTTCGACAAGAACATTGATAAAATACATTTCAAAGGTGATCAGAATTTTAGGTAATAAACTGTGGACAAGAAAAATATGTACTCTCTTGTAGCACTATGATAGACATCACTGCCAACTGTTGTTGTTATTAAGTACTGTCAAGTCAATTCCATTGTGACCCTGTATAGGGTTTCTGAGGAGCAGCTGGTGGGCTTGAACCGCCAACCTTGCAGTTCAAATGGATTTGCAGTCTTGGGCATTAACCCACAGCGCCACCAGGACTCCATGTAGATGCTTACACTCTTCTAAATGTCTCAATAGTGCCTGGGCAGTACAAACAAACAATTAATGTGCTCAGCTTCTAACCAAAAGGCTGGAGGGTCAAGTCCACTCAAAGGTGCTACAGAAGAAACGCCTAGCAATCTACTTCTAAAAATCAGTCATTGAAACCCCTATGGAGCACAGTTTTACTCTGACATAGGAGTGATTGCTAGGCATCAGAATCAACTCAATGGTAAGTGATTCTCAATGTCTTTCATGTAGGCACTTGAGGTCTATGGCTAATTTTACCAGCATTCTCCCAGCACTAGATCAGCTCTTTCTACATTTTTTATGTGCATGTTGTCCAAACCAACAGTTGAGGATACTTTTTAACTCCTTCCCTCCCTTACATGCCATACTCCACTCAATTGAACATCTAGTCCTAGTCTCTTGAGCTACTGGTGGGTTTGAACTACTGACCTTGGGTTCAAACCGGCCTTATGGTTGAGTGTTTATCCTACAGCACCACACCAGGAATCCCTAAAAATTACAGCTTTGGAAATCCCATGGGGGCAGTTCCACTCTGATGTATAGGGTCCTAACGAGTCCAATCGACTTGAATGGCAATGTGTGTGCTTTCAACTATGCTCCCAGAGGGCTTTACAAGTCTACATTGGGGCATTAATCACACTGTATCAAAATTACTTATTTACATGATTCTGGATCCTGTGAAAATGAAAGCTCCCGAATTTCTTGGGCTATGTCTTTCTCTCATGATATCCCCAGTGCCGGCAGTACTTAACACAGAGTCACCGCCCCATAAATAAATGCAGAATGCATAGGGCGGTCAGTGTGGAGACTGGAGTGGTAGAATTGTTGTTGTTAAGTGCCATCGAGTTAGTTCAGACTCATAGCAATCCCGCATAGAGTTTTCAAGAAGTGGCTGGCGAGTTTGAACTGCCGACCTTGAGATTCAAAACGACCTTGCGGTCGAGTGCTTATCCTATATTGCCACACCAGGATGGGTAGACATAGAAGGCAGTCAAATAAGCTTGGGTAGTGAGCTGCTGTTGGTGTCGGTGTTTTCATCGGTCGGCTAACGCATGGCAGGATCACTCACCAGCGAGGACGAATTTAGCCATTTCCAAGCAAAAACCAAGTGGCAGGGACAGCGGCGTCGCGGTTTCCAGGCAACCACGCCACCGGGGTCTGGACGCAGGCGCACTATGGAACTCATCATGTAGTCTGGAGCCTAGCAGCAATTAATGTGCAGTCATGACTTGAAGGGTTAGGTTGGGGCAAGCTCACAGACACACATTCCCTTTGCCAGTGTGCTATTTATCCTTTTTTTAAAGATCTTTATTTTAAAATACCTAGACATTTTATTCGTAAAATTTCACCCCTTTGACCAGTCTTCTCCTTCAGTCGCGAACGTACAGTTTTGACCTATGAAGGGAGCCGTAAAATCTCGCGATAAGCGCAACTCTCAGGTAAGCTGTCATGGCTGCTCCTGTATAGCCACGGGCTTCTGCTGTAAGGTGAGTGTATGAATGATCATTGGTGGAGCAAATGTCAGTATCCCGGTTCTAGTCTTGTCCCGCCAGCTGCTCCTCGGAAACCCTATACAGGGTCGCTATGGGTCGGAAACGACTCAACGGCACTTAACAACAACGATCTTATCCTGCAAGGAGCTCTGGTAGCGTAGTGGTTACGAGTCAGGCTGCTAAACTCAAGATCTGCAGTTCGAAACTACCAGCGGTTCTGCGAGCTAAAAATGAGGCTTTCTGCCCCCGTCCAGGGTCGCTATGAGTCTGAACCGACTCCACGTCGCATACCCACTTCCACAGTTGTCCTTCAGTAGAAGTCGTTTGGAAGTTTAGGGAAGTAGCACTGAGCCCCTGGCTTTGGGGACTGGGGAGGCTGGTTTTCTCTCCCTCTCAAATGTAGGCCATGTGCAAACTTCACATTCGTTTCTGCTTCATCTCCTGAGTCTTTCTGATTGCACTAGTCCTTATATTTAATATTGCGGTACTGCTGTTTGATTGTTTACCCTTATATTAAAATGCCAAATCCTCTTATTTTTAAAAAAATCCATGTCATCGAAGATACTCCTTTTATTTTCATTGACGATATCCCAAGGTGGTGTTGGTGTTTTTAGGTGTCCAGCAGCCTAATTCATACCCTTATTACAACAGAATGAAACACTGCCCAGTCCTGTCCCATCCTTAAAATGGTTACTCAGTTTGAGGCCAGTTGAGGCATCTCAGTGAGGGTTGCCTCTTTCTTTTTCTCTGACCCTGTATCAAGCATGATGTCCTTCACCAGGGATTGGCACCTTCTGATAATATTTCCAAAGTATGTGAGACAAGTCCTGCCATCCTGGCTTCCAAAGAATATTCTAATTTTATTTCTTCCAAGGCAGATTTCTGCATTCTTGTGGTGGATTTGCCATTCTTCTCCACTAATATTCTTCACCACCACCATAATTCAAAGGAGCACTGGTAGCATAGTGGTTACAAATCACAAGGTCAGCAGTTCAAAACTACCAGCTGTTCCATGGGAGAAAGATGAGGCTTTCTGCTCCCATAAAGATTTACAGCCTTGGAGAACCCATACAGGGTTGCTATGAGTCGGAACTGACTCCACGGCACATAACCAACCAACCAATCATAATTCAAAGGCATCATGTCTTCCTTATTCGTGATAAAACCACGACAATTTCCCTGTGGCTATATTATATCCCTCTTGCAGAGGAAGCTTTAAATAAACTTGATTTTTAATTCTTTTAAGATACTATACAACAGCTACTTCAAAAGTAACCTATGTACTGTAAAACTGTGTATATTATGGTAGAAGGGGAAGAAACCCATAATGGTAAAATTTTTTTATGATTTTAATGTCAATCTTTAATGGTTTGATAGGTTCTAGTTTTAGTCTCTGTTAAATAAATCTCATTTCTTTTAAGTAAAAGTTTTGCTTATAATTTTTTATTCCACTTATTATTCTCCTACAGGAAAACAATGGTTTGTCTTCTCTTTCACTGGTACAAGTGAGGCTTCATATCAACCACTTTAAAGTCATTTCACAGCGTTTCATTGGATAGCAAAATGAATAACAAAACAGGTTACTTTTTACAGAACCTCAGACAATTCTGTACTTTAGTTCCAGCAAGAACTGTGAAGGTAGTAGATCCTTTGGGATTTTGCAGATCAAAAATTGTTCATCCAAACTGGAACCCAAGAAATCTTTTCTTAAATGACTTAGAGAATAGAATGCAGTCATCCGTTAGATATCTCTTTCAGAATGTATTGCTTTTTAAATCAGGAGACAATGACTTTCAAACAAATGGCATGAGTACTGTAGCAGTCCCTGCAATTGACAGATTTCTTTGCCCTAGACGAATATCCTTTGACTCAAAACTCTCTTTTGTTTCTGGTGATTCATCTGATGATGGACTGAAGAAAATAAAGTTTCATACTGAGGTCTCCAATGATGGTCTTCTCATCAAGAAAGCAAAACCAACCTATCTAAAATTGTCTGAGGAGTGTTATTCTCTGAGTGATGTATTAGATGCATTTTCAAAAGCACCTACATTTCCCAGTAGTAACTATTTCATAACTATGTGGAAAATTGCCAAAAGTATGTCCGAAGACCAGAAACGCGTTGAAAAACAACTGATGTTTAACCACCCTGCATTTAATCAGCTATGTGAACAAATGATGAGAGAAGCCAAGATCATGCGCTGTGATCACCTGCTGTTCAGTCTTCATGCTATGGTGAAACTTGGAATCCCTCAGAATACTCTGCTGGTACAGACTTTGCTGAGGATAGTCCAGGTAAAATCAAAAGCAGAATTCAACTTCCTTTTACTCTGTTTAAGGAGCCCTGCTGCTGCAGCGGTTAAGCAACCCAAAAGTTGGCAGCTTAACTCACCAGTCGGTCTGCATGAGAAGGGTGTGGTAATCTGCTTCTGTAAAGGTGATTGTTGTTAAGTACCATCCAGTCAATTCTGACCCATAACACCCATAGCAATGCCTTATAGGGTTTCTTTGGAAATTCTAATGGGCCTTTTGACTGTCCTTTAGAGTCACTATGTATCCGAATCAACTGGGTGGTAATGGTTTTTTTTTTTTTTTTTCCTATGGGACAGAGGGTTGGTTTACTCTGTTTGAGGAGCCCTGGTGGCACAGTGGTTACGTTTGGGTCCTGTCTGAAAGGTCTGTGGTTTGAATCCACCAGCTGTTTCATAGGAGAAAGATGTAGCATTTTTTTTTTTAAAGATTGTTGTTAAGGTTCTGACTCATACTGATGCTGTACAGCATTTCCCATGAGTGCCTAGTGAGTCTGAACTGAAGACTTTACAGTTCAAACCGACCTTGCGGTCCACTGCTTATTCACATGATGTGATTGAAAGTACCATGGCCTGGGTCAGGTGCACCTTATTTGAAACTACAGAATGTCCATGTTTATTTGTTAGATTGAGTGTTAATTCCCTATGTAGCGTAGTGGTTACGAATCGGGCTGCGAACTTCAGGGTCAGCAGTTATAAACTACCAGCTGTTCCATGGGAGAAAGATGAGGCTTTCTGCTCCCGTAAAGATTTACAGCCTCGGAAACCCTGTACAGGGTTGTTATGAGTCAGAACCAACTCTATGGCACATCACCACCACCACCATAGTAATGATGCTTTTTCTAGATTTAGGACAGATTTTCCAATCACATAGCTTCTGTGCTGGTGAAGTAGGAGCAATGGATAATTGTTGTTGTTATGTGCCGTGGAGTCGGTTCCATGGAGCACTATCAATGAATTTGTAAGAACAAATAGCCACTTATAGCCAAGTGGTCTGTCATTCACAGCAGATATTGATAGAATTCTATAAATTGTTATGGAAACCTTTCCATGTGAAAGATTTCTCCTTTAAATCATAAGCATTTCTTATTACCTATTTCTGTCTTAGAATCAGGAGCAATCACAACTATTCTGAGGTATAAAGAGTAGTTGTAATTAAATTGTAGAGGCCATATTAAGTGTAGAACCCTGATGCGGCACTGTGGATTAATGCACAGGACCGCAAAGTTGGTTTGGACCACAAGGTTGGCAGTTCAAGCTCACCAGCTGCTCCTTGAAAACCCTATACATGGTCACTATGAGTCAGAACTAACTCGATGGTACTTAACAGATAAGCTGTAAGGAGCCCTAGTGGTGCAGTGGGTTAAGTGTTAAGCTGTTAACTGCAAGGTAGACAGTTCAAACCTACTAGCTGGCCTATGGGAGAAAACTGAGGCTGTCAGCTCATATCAAGGTTTCCATTCTCAGAAACCCTAGGGACTAGGTCTACCCTGTCCTGTAGGGTCCCTAGAAGTTGAAATTGACTTGGTGACCCTAGGTTTTGGGTTAGGTAAGTTATGTTGTTACTATTCACTTTCAAATTATGTCAGCTTACATTTCTGAAGTATAAATTAGTATCTTAATCCAAGAAATCTGGAAGAAGGGACTTTGGTGCTTGGCGTTCTCCTTGAGATCCAGTTCTGAAAACCCAACACAAAACCTATTAATGTTTAGTTGGTTCTGAATCACAGTTACACTGTAGGATAGAATAGAATAGCCCAGTATGGTTTTCCAGGCTGTAATCTTTACAGAAGCAGACTAATGTTTTTTGTTTTTTGTTTTTTACTGTGGAGTGGCTGGTACGTTCAAACTGTTGACCTTTTATTTAGTAGCTGGACACTGAACCACTGTACCCCCAGGATTCCTTGAGGTGGTGAAATATGGCAGTAGGTCTGTTTCTGAAGAATCCCAACTGAATCTGGAACTTCCTAGCAGGAAAGGAAATAGGGTCATTTTAAGGGCATAGCCATCTAAGAATCTTCAGCAAAGGGCAAGTTACCGTGTATATGAGGGACTTTGAAAATTTCACAGAAAAATCCCCTTATCTTTTAATTACATTTCCCCACAAACTTTTTGAAGTCCTCTGTTGTTAAGTACCATCCAGTGAGTTGCAACTCATAGTAACCCTGTACAGAGTTTCTGAGGGGCCGCTGGTGAGTTTGAACCGCAGACCTTGTTATTCACACTGATCTTGTGGGTGAGTACTTATCTTACAGCCCCACACCAGAACTCAAAAAGAAGTAAAAGTAATGTTTGATAAAAGTTATTTTAGAACCAGAGTAATAGACCTACTGCCTTGAGTTGATATGACTGGAGGGTTTCTGGGACTGTAAATCTTTAGGGGAACAGAAAGCCTCATTTTTCTCCCTCGGAGCGGCTAGTGGATTGCAACTACCTACCTTGTGGTTAGAAGTCCAGTGCTTATCCTACAGTGCCACCGAAGCTCCTTGAAAAAAAAAAAATCAGTATCAAATGGATTTGCAGTGATGGTGAATATAAAATTCTGTTGATGCATGTAAGGGTGAGTATCACTTATTTGAAGAATTCATTTACATATTACCAGGGCTTCGAACTGATTCAAAATAGTTCAGTAATTGCATTTGAAAACAGGGCTATGTATGTGTTATGTAACAACCAAATTCGTTGCCTATGGTATTTTTATCTGAGTGGGAGTTAAACAGCTGTGCTCACTCAAAAATGACGGCCAGCCACACTGCTTTGAATGCGTTGCTCTCCAGAACCCTGCTGCAATCCTTCCTCCTGAATGTGTCAGCAGCCTGATGCACCGGTTAGATTATTGGCAGGACTTGAGTTCTGTTGTGCATAGGATTGCTAGGAGTCAGTACCAACTCGATGGCACCTAACAACAACAGCAAGTAGAGATTAATACACACTCAAAGTGGTGCAGTCAGCCACCATCCTTGGCTGTGGTGCAGCTGTTTGTTTCCTGTTGTTGTTGTCAGGCATTGTAGAGCTGGTTCTGACACATATCCACCCTATGTAGGGTTCCTAAGGAACAGCTGGTGAGTTTGGTTGCTATGCAATGAGTATGTGTCCCTTGTTTTCAGTGGCAGTTATGGGCTGCTTTGAATCAGAAGTCCTGCGTATTCCATCTTATTTCCCAAAGACGCTGTTTATTGTAGATTATGGAGTCTTGGTTTGACACTTAGCCCTTTCTTTGGAAGCATGAGTTTAATGTTTTAGCTCAGTTGAGGTAGTCTGCTCTGGATAATTACCTGATGCATTGGTAATTTTATTTCATTAGGAACGTATCAATGAGTGTGATGAGAAATGTCTTTCAGTTTTGTCAACTGTTTTAGAGGCAATGGAGCCATGCAAGAATGTGAACGTTCTTCGAGCAGGATTACGGTAAGAACTCTGTTGGGCTTTCTTCATGTATTTTCCCCTGTTCCTCTTACATCCAGAATAAAGAACTGAGATGAAAACTGGACACTTTTTTCGATGGGGGTGATTTTCTTGGTAGTTAAACTCTTCAGCCAATACCTGATTAAACTTAAAAACCTGACTCTGGATTATGTAAAGCTAAAATTAATACTACTTTTAGGGTCTGCCATTAAAAAGGTGTAAGTAACATTGAGATCTAAATTAATCTGTCATGAAACATATATTCCTAAAGTGGCATACAGGAAAATTGGCATGTACATTCCGTTCACAAAAATTATTTGGTCATATAACATGGGTAGACTTAAAAAGTCTTTTTGAGTTTAATAATTTATAAAATTGATGCAACTGATCCAATGTCATGGGTCAATGTGAATAACATTGTGTGTGTGTGTGTGTGTGTGTGTGACACTGTAAGAAAAGCAGTGACTAATTACAGGGTTGGTGGTTCAAACCCATGAGCTGCACCTTGGAAACCCTGTGTTGTTGTTAAGTGCCATTGAGTTGGTTCTGACTCATAGCGACCCTGCATAGGGTTTCTGAGGAGCGGCTGGGAAGTTTGAACAGCCATGGTACCACATGAGGACTCCTTTTGGAAACTCTGTATAAGGTCACTGTGAGTCAGAACCAACTCGACAGCACTTAACAACAACAACATGCTTTAGGATAAGGGACCATAGTGATGCTGTGGGATGGCATTGGACTGCTAACTGCAAAATCAGCATTTCATATCTACCCACAGTTCCACAGAAGAAAGATGAAGGTATCTACTTCCACAAAGATTTGCAGTCTTGGAAACCCTATGTAGGGTTGTAATGAGTCGTTAATGGCAGTGATGGTAGTGAGTTTGGTGTATGCATTAGGAGATCTAGAATCACCTGATAATGCTAGTTCATTAGTAAAGACAACAGAATAACAAGGGGGGAAGTAGCGTTGGTCTACTTCTTGATCTTTATGTGTTTATACTCCACTGGACAGGCACATCACTTAGTGTCTATGGGCTTCATGGTCCTTGCTGATAAGAAGTAGAGGAGCTAGGCCAAATGAACTTTCGAGATTTCTCTTCTGGTTCTCAGATTTAAGAATTGGGATATTTATTGTGTTTGATAACAGAATACTGGTTGATCAACAAGTTTGGAAAATAGAACGTGTCTTCACATTACAAACTATGATGAAATGTATTGGAAAAGATGCACCAATTGCTCTTAAAAAGAAACTGGAGGTAAATGTTTTCTGAATTTTCTTCTGATGAGACTTGAGAATGATATTTGTTGGGATCTGGTGTTACTTCCTAAAGACATTGCTGTACTTTTAGGTTTCGTTGTGAAATCGTAAAAGTGGATTTGTATTTCTCTGTTTTTATACGTATATTTAGTATATGTGTGTATATTTGTTTGACTCATTTTGCTCAAGCTCTGTCCTTTATTTAAAAATAAAAGCTTAGCTTGTTTTGCCACAAGTGATCAATTTAGATTTGTTTTTTCCTTTAGATGAAAGCCTTGAGAGAACTAGACCGATTTTCTGTTGTGAATAGTCAGCACATGTTTGAGGTCTTAGCTGCAATGAATCACCGTTCTCTTACACTCTTGAATGAATGCAGTAAGAAGGTCATAGGTAAGGGACATTTACTTTATGATACATATTTATAGTTTACAATATTTGTAACCAATACGGGTTGAATGGTATTTGTTTTATTTGCTTAAAAAATATATTGTGAAAAATTCGTTGTTTCTTTTCACAAGGTTGTATGGTGTTTGATTATCTGTTTAACTTAATTTTTCTATTTCCACTTTTCCCTGTTATAATGAAAATATCTGATATTACATCTGAATTTTATTTTTTCTTATAGCTTCTATGCAAAATGTAATGCTAGTTTTTTTCTAAAGAAACAAAAAGTATTTATCATATTAAATCTTACATTCAAAACCATCATTTTTGTTTGTTTATGTAACTCATTTTGAAAGATAATATCCACGGATGTCCTTTTAAGATGCTGATCAGCATATTAAAGTCCTGCAAAGACCTCCAATACCATAATTTAGATCTCTTCAAAGGAATAGCAGACTATGTGGCTACAACTTTTGACATCTGGAAGCTGAAACAGGTGAGTATGTTAACACTTTAGAATAAGCTTCAGAAATCTTCACAAGCGTATTAATTCACTTAGCAGTCTAAGTATTTCCCTTTGAGCTTCATAGACATAGTTGTTGTTGTTGTTGGTGGTGGTATACTGTGAAGTTGGTTCCACTCAGTGGTGTTGTTAAGTGCTGTTGAGTCGGTTCTGACTCATAGCGACCCTGTGTAGGGTTTCCGAGGAACAGTTGGTAGGTTTGAACAGCTGACCTCTGTTTCACAGTCCAGTGCTGATCCTACAGCCCTACTCAAAGATTGTGAATCTTAACAGGAGCAGAAAGCCTTCTCCCGCAGAACAACTGGTTAATCCGAGCTGCTGATCTTGAGTGTAGCAGCCCAACTTGTGACTTACTACAGCACCAGGGCTCCTGATAGAAGTTAAGATACTAAAGATAATTTTAAGTGGAAAATTTACCTTTTTAAAAGTTAGCTCCATATTATTTCTATCTAGGGGTACTTTTTTAGAGCATTGAAGAGCAAAGATGTCAGCTTGAAGACTAAGGTATGCCTGACCCAAGCCATGGTATTTTCAGTAACCTCATGTGCATGTGAAAGCTGGACAGTGAATAAGGAAGACCATAGAAGAATTGATACTTTTGAGTTATGGTATTGGAGAAGACTATTGAAAGTGCCTTGGGCTGCCAAAAGAACCAATAGGTCCGTTTTGGAAGAAGTGTAGCCAGAGTGCTCCTTGGAGGCCAAGATGGCCAAACTTTGTCTCTCATACTTTGGACATATTGTCAGGAGGGAACAGTCACTGGAGAAGGATATCATGTTTGGTAAG